GGATGGGTGTGGCAGAGGCGGTGCGGTTGGCGCAGGATAGAGCAGGGTTTAGGGCTGTTGTGCATAGGGTCGCTATGAGTCGGAAACGACTCGACGGTACATAACAACAACAACAACAATGGAACTCTGTTGGTTTGCTAACAGGCAGCTACACTACACTCTCAAAGGCACAATTTGAAACTACCAGCTGCTCTGTAGGAAAAGGATGGAAATCTCCTCCCATGTAATTAATTGCCTCTGAAAAAGTCAGCTTTGAGTTGGTTCCCATTCAACAGCACACTACAATAAAAAAAACAATCAAAAATCTGTACTGCACAACATGGGGGACTCATGGAAAACAAATTATGCTAAGCTACATAAGTCAGTCACAAAAAGACAATAATGGTATAAGACTACTAATATAAAAAACTAAGGGAAGGGGGAAATGTGCAACAAGGAAATAAATTTTTTCAAAGAGAAAAGTGAACTGGGGGGTGGGTAGCGAGGAAAATGTACAATAATAAACGAAAGGAAATCCAACTTCTCTATAAACTTCCATTGTTGTTGTCGTGTGCCATCGAGTTGCTTGCGACTTACAGCGACCCTGTGTTCAAGAGGTCTAAACGCCGTTCTATCCTGTGCCAACCTAGCCATCTCAAATGCACTTATTCCCACCACTCCAGTCACAGAATCAATCCATCTCATCGAAGGTCTTCCTCTCCTTCGCCACCCCTCCACTCTTCCAAACATGATGTCCCTCTCCAAGGACCAGTCCCTCCTTGCAACATGCCCAAACTATGTCAGACGAAGCTTCAGAATCCTTGACTCCAAGGAGCAGTCCGGCTTCACTTTCTCCAGGACAAATCTGTTTGTCCTCCTAGCAGTCTATGGTACATTCAACTCTTCTCCAGCACCACAGCTCAAAGGCATCAATTCTCCTTTAATTCTATCATCCCTATTCACTGCCCAACTCTCTGACACATAGCACGTAAGTGCGAAGACTACAGCCCGGATCAGGCACACCTTAGTCTCCAGCCTGACGTTGTTGCTCTTCAGTACTTTGGAGAGGTCCCTGACGGCTGACTTTCCCAATGCAATTCGTCTCTTGATTTCCTGGCTGCTGTTACCAAGAGTGTGGACCCAAGTAAACTAAAACTGTTAACTATCTCAATCTTTTCACCATCCGTACTGATGCTGCCAATTGGCCCACTGGTGGGAATCTTTGTTTTCTTGATGTTGAGCTTCAATCCATATAGGAGGCTGCAGTCCTTGACCTTCTGCAGCAAGCGTTTCAGGTCCTCCTCAATTTTAAACTTTGATTAAAATTATTTTTTTTAAAAAGTTAGGAAAAAAGCCCTAAGGAAATGTTTTCTCAAAGAATAAATCTTGGAGGATTAACAAGGATGAGGAAGGAGAGAGGAACAAATACTAATAAATGGATGAAGCTTAGTTAAGGGAAAAGCAACATACAATAAGGGTTTGATTGGAGGTCATAATTAACTGAATTAAAAAACTACAGCATATTGTCTATGAATGATTGAATAAAAATGTAGTATACTTATAAATCTTTAAATATGCTTTTTAAATAAAGAGTATGAACAAAAATAATACAAAATCATGCTCACTATAGCAGCACATATACCAAAACTGGAACAATACCGAGAAAAGTAACATGACCTTTGTACAAGTGTTTCCTATTTTATTTTTTTTTTAAAAAGGACAAAAGAATAAGACAAGTAAAGGAGGGAGAAGACTCATAGAACTAGTGACATTTGAGACAGAATTTAAATAGTTTTCCTTATAGAATGACAGACTGAAGCAGTAAAGTTATTTAAGAATACAGTCAAAATCTAATGAACTACTACAATAACCTAATAAACTACAATGAGCTACTACAATAAAGTGAGCATTAGCTTTGAGATTCAAGTGATAAAAGAGCATGCAACGGGAATTAGCTTTGTTACAGGTACCTGAATATCTATTTGTTGTTGCTGTAATTTTTCAAGCTGCTTAATGTGCTGTTCCATAAACACATTCATTTGTTTTTCATGATCATGACAATGAAGGTTCTCTTGTTTATTCTGAATGGTTGTTTGCTGCTCTGTAACACGTTGTAACTGTTTATCAGTTTCTTGCAATTTATTAAGTAATTCTGTTACAGAATTTACTTTTGCTTCCAAATCACTCTGTACCTAAAATTAAATATGAAAATAATCTGTTGTTAGCTGCAGCCAAGCTGTATACCAAAAATATGGTCAATTAATCAAAAAGTTAATTAAAGCAATTATTATTATTATTGTGAAATAGTCAGAGGTTTTATCCCCAGAATATCTAAATGATCCAATGTCTTTCTTTTCAAAGTCACCAAAGTAAAAGGGAAAATGTAGCTAACCCTTAGGTAGATGACTCCTCTCCAAAACAAAACTTAAACCAAATTTGTCACTTGAAATTTTATGACAGAAATATTTAAATGGAAATTTAGAACAACATCAAAATGAAGTAAATTCACTCAAGGACTTTACTAATGGAAAGGAAAGTCCAATCAGCAGGCTTGAGTTCTAGCTAGTCTTGCTTATACCACCAATAAGCGCTCATATCGTGTGTGACTGTTTCTCTGCTTCTCCATTTGCAAACTGAAGAGGGTCACCATAATTTTCTAAGGTATCTTCTAGTTATAAAAATAGGGTGAGTCTGGGACTCTCAGGAACCCTGGGACTGAGCGGTTTCTAGGATGCAGGACTTCTGTGTTACAACTATAAGGCCCTTAGTTAACCATCAGTAAAGTTAAACCAATTGGGGTTAACTACCATGGAATTCTGGTGGCTTACTGGCAAGGAGTTGGACTATGAAGCCAAAGACACATGGTTTGACTCCATCAGATGCTCTGTAGAAGATGGGCTATCTCCTCCTGTCCAATTTACATCCTTTGAAAACCTGCTGGAGGGTCAGCTAAGAGTCGGTTCCAACTTGACAGTATGTAACAACAACCATTACCAAGTGGTAAGGAAAAAAATTCTCCTAACTATGAAGTCAACACAATCTCAAAGAGAAACACTCATTCCAATTGAGAGGTAATTATGATGTCTCCTAGAGCAAACTCTGGTAGCCTAGTCCATAGGCTATTATTACACCACTAAGCAAAACGGCTGTCTCCAGCAGCCTGATCTACCAGCTGCTCCATGGCAGAAAGATGGACAGTCTCCTCCCACTGCAATTGAAAACCCAGGTAAGTCACTACAAGTCAGAATCAGTTCAACAGCAGTACTTTTTCAGAATATCTCTTATCTGTACATGGACACGACCACTTGTGGAATCAGTTTTTAATAAATGGTTTTCGGCGCTGGCTGAAAATCGCCTGTGACTTCATCCATAGCCACTGGTGAGAGTCAGCGCCCAGAGCCATCAGGGGCTTTAAGCTCATTGCCCACTGCTGTGGTGTGGACAGCTGAAACCCAGGCCCC